TGGAACTATCTGAGAAAATCCTGCAGCTACTGTTTGCTTAAGAACCCCCAAAAAACAAAAATGATAATCTCTGTATTGGCCTCATATGGAAGAATATGTTGTGTTTTTGGGGGTTCTTAAGCAATTCGTAGGCAGCCGTTGCAAGAGGAGAGCGGGCTAAGTTTTACCGATGTCCGGGCGAAGGTTAGGACAAATGGCGATGCAGTGGTCTTCATGTGTTACATGTTCACGGCAACGTTTTGACAGCAGTGTGAACAGTGCAATTTGTTTTTCCCCGCGTAGCCTTCCAGCACCAGCAGTTTCCTGCACCAGTGCGCATGGCCATCAGCAGAATCCTGAACACAGGGCCCTAAACCCTAAACCCTAAACCCTAAACCCTAAACCCTAAACCCTAAACCCTAAACCTTGCATGTGTGGGTGTGTGTGTGGCTATACCCTAACACCCAGCATCGGAAGGCTGATCGCTTGCCGGCTGAGCTCAGCTCCTTGGTCAGATGCCCAGAGAGCTCAACATCCCTCAGACTTGCTTGTAGACAGCCCTGAACTCAACAAGCTAAACTCTGGGTTTAGGGTTTAGGGTTTAGGGTTTAGGGTTTAGGGTGTATGGTGTAGGGTATATATATAATATAAGAGGCCCTAAGCGCTAGACCCTTGCCGAGTCGAGGCTGTTGGGCTCTCTAGGTGGGCCATTAGTCAGAGGCGCGCCAATTCTCCCGAAAAAAATGGCAAGTACCACAACCCAGAAGTCCCATGATTGGGCCCAGAGTGTACGGTGTAGGGTTTAGGGTTTAGGGTTTAGGGTGTCAGGGCTTAGAGTTTAGGGCATAGGGTGTCAGGGTGTCTGGGACCCAGAGTAGGCCCTTCTTCCCTTTTTTCATCGCTTAGGTTCCCTTATAAGCCCCTTCAAACCAAAAAAAGGGTACCCTTTCTTATTCCTAGGTTACTTTTGGGTCTAGGTGTAGAGCCCTCCCTAGTTTAGGGTTTAGGGTAGGTTTAGGGCTTGGCATAGTAGCCATGCTACTTGGTGACACTAAGCCTTATAAACCCTCTCAGCTCTTAAAGCCCCCAACACCTAAAAATCCACCCTGAAGCCCAAAACCCTACCCCCCCACATTTGTGCATGCCGAATGTCTCACACCACAGGACAAAAGGAGCCAAGTGTCAGGTGCATCAAAGAACGCACTGTGCTGGAGCCCGCCCTGCGCGAAGCAGGACGTATGGTTTCTTGCTCCTTCGAAGCACCCCAGACCCTAAACCCTAAACGCTAAACCCTAAACCCTAAATGCTAAACCCTAAACCCTAGACCCTAAACCCTAAACCCTAAACCCTAAACCCTGCAAACCCTGAACTCTCAAGAACTGTCACACAGGAAGCCCCCTACGAACGGTCGCAGCTTCGCAAGGGCGATGCTCCAACCTTTTGTAGAGTTGCAGGGAAGGCCTTGCCGCTGGAGGTTGCACTGAATAGCGGGCGCCACCTCCATGGTGTTGCAGGGACTCGTCGGTCTGGCCAAGGGATGGCTCGTTTGGACAATTTTGGCTTTTGGTGTTAGTGTCTCGGGTTTAGGGTTTAGGGTTTAGGGTTTAGGGTTTAGGGTTTAGGGTTTAGGGTTGGAGGTTGTATCGAGCGATTTCCGGCCAGGATGCGAGCGTTAACGACGCTGATATCGCCTCAGGCGACACTGACCGACAGCGAGCCGGCTCTCTTCAGTCGCCCGCAACAAATCGCCACCGCTTTGGGTTTGTGCCCTTTGTTTCGGGGGGCAGAACCTACCATTTGAGAGGGTTTGGGAGCTTCCAGGTTGCGTTTCGTGCCGGATTCGTAGTTTCGTGGCCTTAAGTTGCAATCTCTGCGGACACTGAGCATGCCCCCAGGAGCACTCCTGTATACTTCCCCCTTGTTTTTGGGGATGGGCTCCCCCTTTCGGCTACATGGTGCTCAAGTTACGTAAACTGGGCAGCCCTAAACCCTTCGCCCTTAACCCTAAACCCTAGAGTCTAAACCAACCCTAGATGACCCGCAGTGTGGGGGCTGGATTTATTCATAGCCTATCGCACAAGGAATTCTGGTGCATCACAGGAGAGGCCAGAATGAACATCAACCTTGTCGTGCGGACTGGGTTTAGGGTTTAGGCTTTAGGGCTTAGGGCTTTAGGCTTTAGGCCTTAGGCTTTAGGCTTTAAGGCTTTAGGCTTTAGGCTTTAGGCTTTAGGCTTTAGGCCTTGTTTTCCACCAGGTTCGTGGTTGAGCGTGCTTTGGCGGCTGCAGTCCCTCCCAGGACCCCCCAAGAGCATGTTCAGCTGCAGCCCAACATGCTCTCAAATCCCCAGGTTTCCCAAAACCCATGGGTCCAATAGCCCCAAAACCCTAAACCCTAAACCTTATAAACACTAAAGCGGTAGCCCTAAAGGGTTTAGAAGCTTCGGGTTTCAGCCCCCCCCCCCCCCCCCCGAAGCCTCCGACCCTCCGCAGACAATGGTGAGACACGAGAAGTTGGGCTGGATTCCAGATGGATGTCGCAGGTGCGCCCGAAGCCACAGCCCGAACCCCCTAATCCCCAAAGAAAATTGATTAATCCCTAAACCCTAAACCCTAAACCCTCAACCCTAAACCCTAAACCCTAAACCGTGGAAAACCCTAAAGCCCTGAACCCTAACCCCAAGCCCTGAGCCGGCCCTACACCGCAGTTTAGGTTCGGTCTTGTCGGTTTGGCGAGGCCATGTGACATTTTCCTGGGCCCTGAACCCTAAATCCTTCTGACCCCCATAAACCCTAAGCCCCCTAAACCCCGTAAACCCCCTAAAGCCCCGAAAGCCCCTAAACCCCCTAAAGCCCCTAAAGCCCCTAACCCCCTCTAAACTCCCTAAACACCCTAACCCCCCTAAACCCCCTAAACCCCCTAAACCCCCTAAACCCCCTAAACCCTAAAACCCTCTTTTAAGTCCTCAGCCCCCAACCATCCGAACCCATGTAAACCCCTTTAGATCCCCTAAACCTCTAAGATCTAAACCCTTCTACTAAGCCCACAACCCCAAACCCTAAACCCTAAACCCTAAACCCGAAGCCCTAAACCCTAAACCCTAAACCCTAAACCCTCCAAGCCCATGCGCAAGCCTAAGCCCCCCCCCAAGGCCGGCTCTTGACCCTTGTACACCGACCTTCAAGCTTTGTACATATATCACGAAGCCCCACGCCCTAAACCTAAACCCTTAACAATCTATATATATATATATATATATTATATATATATATATATTATTATATATATATTATATATATATATTGTATTATATATATATATATCAATATACATATATACATATTCATTTGTATGTATAGATAGATAGGTGTATTTATTTCTTTATACACATACATATACGTGTACGGGTAGTCATGAAGTGCCCGCAAGCTTTGAGTGGACGGATACTTTGGGCTTTGAGGGTGTCGGGTGGCTGGGTCCGAAGTCGAGGCTGGGACCCTGAAAGCTCCAAAACCCCAAACCCAAATCCCCCTCATCACTACCCGAAACCCTAAACCCTAAACCCTGAACCCTGAACCCTAAACCCTAAACCCTAAACCCTAAACCCTAAACCCTAAACCCTAAACCCTAAACCCTAAACTCTGCAATGGGGTTTAGGGTTTAGGCTTGAAATGCCCCCTCTTTTTTCGGGTGGCCGCGCGCCAGGCGCCTCTACCCTCGCTGCGGAGCCTTCGAGGCATGGCCGGGGCTCAGGCGTTTGGGGCTCTAGGGCTTGAGGGGTTTAGGGTTTAGGGTTTAGGGTTTAGGGTTTAGGGTTTAGGGTTTAGGGTTTAGGGTTTAGGGTTTAGGGTTTAGGGTTTAGGGTTTAGGGTTTGGTCAAGTTTCTTTGGGGTTTAGGGTCGGGCTGCGGCGTTTGGGGACAAGTTAGGCCTTTCAAGTGGTTCAGATTGAGGGCTGTGGGACCGGTTAGGCTGATACGGGGTACCCCAACCCCACCTGAAACCCCATAAGCATCGGGGTTTCGGGCCCCAAAGCTCCGAAAACCCGAAGTTTCCAACCTCCTGCACAGAGCCTTCTAGACCCTGAGTACCAAAGCCCGAACCCCAAAGCCCTTAACCCTAAACCCTACACCCTAAACCCTAAACCCTAAACCCCAAACCCTAAACCCCAAACCCTGAAGCCCAAGCCACAGGTGTGCCTGCACTACCGGGGAGAAAGGCAAAAGGCCGGTGCCCCTTCTTGCCAGGAACGTCCTTTGGGGTTTAGGGGGTTTAGGGTTTAGGGTTTAGGGTTTAGGGCAAAAGGGATCAGGAGGGTTTAGGGTTTAGAGTTTCGGGTTTAGGGGGTTTATGGGTTTAGGGTTTAGTAGGGCTTAGGGTTTAGGGTTTAGGGTTTGAGTTTAGCGTCGTTATTCAGGGTTTGCGAAAGGATTTAGTATAAGGGGTTTTTTGTGACCACAGCCTACAGAGATGTTGAGTATTTATGTCAAGGATCTCAGAACATGTTTTCAAGGGCAAGCCTACAAAGATGTTAGGTTTGGCATTCTCAAGGTAGGGGGAATCGGGTAGTTGATCTAATTTGGGCTGCTTGTGGGTTCAAGTCTTACGGCCCAGGGCTTGCGAGGTCTAGGGATTAGTGCGGAGGATGCTACGAGTTTTGGGGGTTCATGGCACTCAGGGTTTACAGACCCTGAATCTAGAAACCTACAGGGTTTCAGGTGTAGTTTTCAGGGCTAGGTTTCAATCGGGGATGCGCAGAGACTGCTCTGGCTACTGGGAGGTTCATGGGCAGATACATTCTTAGCAAGTAGGTTCAGTAAGTTGGGTCATTTTCACTTCGTGTTTTTTTTTTTAATGTTGTATAGGTTTCTAGAGGGTGCCATGTAGACTTACTAAGTCAAAAGGGCTTCCGAGTGTAAGTTGGGTTCTAATTATGGTAGCTCTAATTATAAAGCCAGCCATTGTTGGCCACCAAGACGTGCTAGCAGACCATGTGGCCCGTGGCAGTGCAGATTTGCTCTCATGAATGAGCGGCTGCAGCGACTGCAGCTGGCCTTGTTCCTGGAAGCGACGGAGTGGCTCCAGTTCGCAATTCCGGAGAGCTACATCCGGCTCCCTCCCCCCAAGGGAAGGCGTTCTCTTGCCCCCACACTCGCTGAGATTCAGCCTGGGTGGCTGACCGGAGGATGGCATCCTTGTCTGGACTTCCCCTTGCGCGGAAGAGTTTGTCCACGAACGCGGGCACGTTGTTTTGTAAACTTATCTCTTTCTTGATTTTTGTAGGCTGGCGTTTCTGAGAGTGAATTCTTACTGTCAACACGTGATTAAACCCACCCCCCCCTCCTCCCCCCCCCTCCTCCCCCCCCCTTCCCCCCCCTTCCCCCCCCTCCCCCCCCCCCCCCCCTGCCCCCCACTGAAGGGACTGGTTTAAAAGGAAATTTGTTGAGTCAAAGGATCGTTTAAAGGGAAAAATCGCGGCTCCGTGACTTGAGTTGCTAATAGGTGGGGGGGGGTTGAACGCAGCCAGGGAATCTATGAATATGGGGCAAATTGCGTCACCTGAAACCTGAAAAATGATCATAATCATTGAGCTTCAACCATCACAGCTCATCCACTTCTTCCATGATGGAAAAAACTAAAGAAGGTGCGTGCCAATCCCTCAACCCTTTCTGCATGAAGCCTGACAACCCGGGAGCCGCGAGATGAATCTAGGGTTTAGGGTTTAGGGTTTAGGGTTTAGGGCTTCGGATTCAGGAGTTCAAGGTTTCGTTTGCTGGGCCCCTATTGTTGTTAACACCTCCCTAAACCCTGAAACCCAACATCCGAAAACCCAAAACCCTAAACCCTGCAACCCTGAGCCCTAAAACCCTAAAACTTCAAACCCTACTTAAGACCTGGAACCCTTCAACCTTAACACCTTAAACCCTATAAGTCCTAAAACAAACTAAGACCCCAAACCATCAAACCAGGTTCCCTATGAGGCACTTGTAACCCTAAACCTTAAACCCTAAATGGTAGCCTTTATATTCCTAGGTTCCTCCTGGGTCTAGACGAGTGAGGGCTCAGAGTTAAGATGGCCAGGTCCATGCCCAGGACCTCTCTATGGGTTTCGGGTTTCGGGTTTAGGGTTTAGGTAGGGTTTGAGGATTTCGGGTTTAGGGTATAGGGTTTCGACGCTGTAAGAGTGGGCTTGGTTTGAGAGCTTTGGGTAGGTGATGGGGCTGTAAGTGGGTCATGGTGGTCAACATGGCGTTATGAGGATACTTCTGAGGCCTTAAACCCGAAACCTTACAAGCCTACAATCCTACACAACCCTATGGCCCTATAAGTCTATGACTAGGCAGCCGTGCAACCCTACAAGTCCTTCAACCTTAAGTGACCATATAAACCTGATACACCCGCCCCGATAAGCCCTCTAAAGCGCCATGCATCCTCTAAACGCCCTATAAACCCTCCAGACTTTAGACCGTAAACCCCTTAAACCCTAAACCCTAAACCCTAAACCCTTGCTCGACCAAGGTCTTCTCGAAGCTCGAAGAAATGAAGTGGCCGAACCCTGATTGGCTGGCCCGGCGCATCCTCAAGGCGCGCCATAGAACACAGGTACTGCGTGGAAGCTCTTTAGGGTTTTAGGGTTTAGGGTTTAGGGTTTAGGGTTTAGGGTTAGTCTACTTAGCATCCCCTGTTATAATCCCTATAGCCCAACTGACTAACCCCTGCTTAGGAAGTGCAAAGGGCTGCAAAGTACCCCTTAATGCTCTGGTTCATGGGTAGTAAGTAGGGCTATAATTAGGGTAGCTATATACTTATGGCCTTATTTAGGGTACTTACAGCCCTACTTAGAATTGCCCTGAACCTTACAAGCCTTACAGTAGGGTTTAAGCTTCTGTAGGGGTTAGGGTTGAGGGTTCAATGGAGGAATAGGGCTTAGGGTTTAGGATTCAGGGCTTATGGTTCCCAAACTGTAGTTCCCGATTTTTTGGGACCTGATGCTCCCAATCGTACACCCCCCCCCTCCCCCCCCCCCTCCCGCCCCCCCTCCCCCTCCCCCTCCCCCAAACAAAAAAAAAACACAACTGTTGGCCAGGTAGGGGCTTAGGGTTTAGGGTGGCGGGTTTAGGGTGATGCAAAAAGTAATTTCCACCCAGCAGTTTGATCCAATAATTGGCAGAGTCTTATAGGAGACTACTACTGCAGCTCACCCCGCGCTCCGAAGCGTGTGTGCAAGCTGTCTTGCAATCTAGAGTGAGTGAGTCAGTCTGCGTGCGAACGGGCGTGTGCGATTTTGTGGATGGGAGATTCACCGCAGTGCCAGCACAGTCGAAGCCCAAACCTTACATGAACCCTAAACCCCCATCCCTTGCTTTGAGGTTCAGGGTACTTATAGCCCTAATTTTCTGAAGCAGGGTTTACATTACTGCTATCGGTGAGTGCATATAAGGTTCCTTTAATATTGGTGAGTGTATATATTGGCTGTCCTGTTGAGGATACAAGAAATATTTAAACCCTACTTCATATCTGTACTTATTACTCGTAAGCCCCCTACGTCCCCTAAGTAGGTTGTAAGTAGACTTATATCTGTGGTTATAAGTACCCATGAACCTCCAAGTACGTGATGCAAAGCAAAGCTCAGCTTGTTTATGGTGCTATTAACCCCACACTGCCTGACAGTACCTAGACTTGTACAGACCCCCAGTGGCAGTTCCTTGTTTTTTTCCACCTATTATATATACATATATATATATATGTATATATTACATTTTGGGGAGTGGGAGGTTCCTAGTTGAACTAAGTATTCTGCTATCCATAAACTTAGACAAGGTCAGGTATCCCCAAAACGGAACACAACAAACTACGATTGGAGGTCTAGGTCAGTGCCCCCCCGACTGCCTATCATTTTTCGACTGCACGGGGAACACTGTATGCCCCATCATTTGTAGGGCTGTGGGGTTTGGAGTAACGGGCTCTCCATTTGGTGATCTGAGCCCCGCAGATCGTGGATGAGCGCGAGGCCGAGTACGAGGCCGGCCCCCCACAGTATGGGCCTTGGGTTGTATAGGCTTAAGGGGTCAGTAGCTAGGGTAATTACCCAAACAGGGGACCAGAATTCATATAGGGATCCTTAGTATGATCTAAGGGTCTATTCCTTAATTATTCTAAGAAGAATTCAACATATCCCAAACCCGTACCCCTTAATCACACCCCCTAAATTTCTCTTAAGGGTATGCCCAAGGGGTATGTTGAGTCGTTTTTTAGAATTCTAAGGGGCCCTAAACCCTAAAACCTTAAACCCTAAACCCTAAACCCTAAACCAAGGGGTTGAGGGTGTAGGGTTTAAGGGTGGTATCGGGCTCTCTGGGGACCCTAAGCCCCGTTGCAGGGCTAAAGCTGCTGCCCCTCCAGCTGTTGGGGATTAGGGTTTAGGATTTAGTGTTTAGGTTTAGGGTTTAGTGTTTAGGGTTTAGCATTTAGGGTTTTGCGTTTAGGGTTTAGGGTTTAGGGTGTAGTGACCCGAAACCCTGAACCCCGGAGAGAGCCTTCGGTACTTGATGCAATGTCTAAGCTGAAGATGACCTTGCTTCGACCAGGTGAGCTTGGGCCTGTCACTAAAAGTCTTGGTAGCCCAGTGGTACCCTTTACCCCCTTTTTTTGGTTATGGGTTCCCTTTAAAATAACCAAACCCCAAAAAGGGTGCCCTTAGTATAATATGTTTACTGGGCTACCAAGAAGGTCAAGCCTACCGCACTTTTCGCTTGCAAACGACATTGCAGTGCAAGCGTCACGAATTCAACAGAGGACGGCCGAAAAATCACGGGGCCTACTTGGACTATACCCCTGCAAGAATTCCTCTGTATCGACCATAAGGCCTGTCAGGGTTAGAGTTTAGGGTTTGAATGGGGTTTATAGGGTTTGGGGTTTATGGCGGGCCAAGCCGCGGGCGCCTTACAAACGACGCCAACCCCGTAACCAGTCTCCGGCTGAAACAGCCAGAATAGAAGCCCTCAACCCCAAGCCCTCTGGGGTTTAGGGTTTTGGGTTTAGGGTGTACGTAGGGCAGGCCCTAAACCCCAAGCCCTTTTGAGGTTTAGGGTTTAGGCTTTAGGGCTTTCGGGGCCCTACACCCTAAAAACTAAACCCTAAACCCTAAACCCTAAGCCCTAAACCCTAAACCCTAAACCCTAAACCCTAAACCCTAAACCCTACGCCCCGAACGCAACAAGTCGACCTGCTCAGAGGCACGGCAGCCCCAGCACAGCCGAGACATGAGCCCCCCGCCTTCCACGTCCTCCTCGCAGGATCCTCGGGTGTGTGGGCGGGAGGGGGGAGGGTTTAGGGTTTAGGGTTTAGGGTTTAGGGTTTAGGGTTTAGGATTTAGGATTTAGGGTTTAGGGTTTAGGGTTAGGGTTTAGGGACTAGGGAACCCAGAACCCTTAAAACCCCAAACCTTCAACACGCGGGAGAGCTCGAGGGCAGAGGGTTTGTGCTTGGAAGTTCATGGGGTACTTTCAATCTCCCTTGCAGCTCAGAATGGCCGCTCTAGATGGCATGTCGATCGCCAGCCTTGATGCAGCACAGCTCTGGGTAGCAGAGATTGCAAGAAGGGGCATTTTCTTCTGAGGCAAACATTTGCTAGGAGCCTCATGGAGTTGTCGTTTAACCGAGTTTAAACTGGGGAGGAGAATGTTTCCGACCCCAAAACGCAAAGTCAGCGTCTGGAGCCGAAGGAGGCGGATTCTGCACCAACAGAGGACCCCTAAGGGTCCATGTACCTAAATAGGGAATACTTGGGTCTTAAAGCACTTCCTATATAGGGATCTTGGGGTCTTAAAGTACTTCCTATATAGGGATTTTGGGGCCCAAGTTATATACTTGTAAGGGACATGGACCCCTGGTGGACATTGAGCGACTGTCAAAGTTATTGGCACGTTATTGTTGCATGGGATGGCCATCGCGGTGCAGAACGATAGGGGACACGTAGAAAACGATAACCCCAAAACATCCAACGATCTGGCTGTTTTCATGTTTCGTGAAATATTAGTAGAGTGTGTCCTGCAGAGCGATACGGTACACGCAGAGAAGGAGAACCGCGAACTCCATGTCCTTCAGTCGAACAAGTAGTGTTGACTGTTGCAGGACAGTGCTACATACCTGCTGAGTGGACTCAGCCATCCGGAACTGTTTGGCTGACGGCTAGCTCGCTTCACACGGTAGCCAGTCTGCTTGCCCAACAAGCCTGATGTGGCTGCCGCGTTCCAACAAGACTCCTGGAGCCTACAAGCTCTTGCCCATGCCCAAGGAGGGCTCCGTGGACCACCTGGGCCCCTACTCAATGGAGTTTGTGGATGACTTCACCGACATCATGCCAGGAGCACCACGCTGGGGCCCAGGTGAAGGATACTTCGATGTATCGGACTTGCCGGCAGAAGATTCCATGCTGTGGCAAAGCCGTACGCGGTTCGGCGGAATTGCGCAAGACTGGACAAATTATCCACCACATGTACAGGCAACGTTGAATGCGGCCAAGATGAGCGGCAAGTCAACGGTTGAGATATGCTTCAATGCTTCTCTTTTCATAGTGGATTTGAAGCACATGAAGCAGTACAACGCAGCTGATGACACCAAGGTGAGAGATGTACGCCTCAGCGCGGCGCATCCAAAGAAGTGGCTTCTGATCTCTAAGAGCGAAGAAGGACATTGGATCGTGCTGGACCAGGACAGTTGCAAAGAGATCGATGAAGGCCGTGGAAAGCGGCACCTCTGCCATGGCGCCGTCCTCTTTGAGATCTCGAGTTGCAGGGTGGGCAGGGTGTATGTGGACAAGGCCAGGCACCGGGCTTACCACTGCCTACACGCAGATGCATTCAGAGGCCTGCTTGCCTTGCCAATGTCGGTTTGGAACCAGGTACAGCAAGGGCCGCAAGACATCTCCCTGCCATTTTCTTCTGAGTGGCACCAGCTCTTGTTCTGCCATTTTGAACAGACGAAGTTTGGCGGCAAGAGGGGCAGGCGCGTGCTGCACGAAGACATTGTTGTCGGTGAGATCACGGCCCATCTTCGAAAAAGGCTTTACTTGCAATTCTTGGAGAAAATCCAGAGTTGGGGCGGCCAGGTCCGCCTCCTGCTGTGCTTCCATGGAACAAAGGAGGCCAACCGAGCCGAAATCATCGAGAACAACTTTTCCATGAGCAAGATTGGCGCAGGCACCGGCAACCAAGGCTGGTTTGGCAAGGGCATCTACTTCGGACGACGTGCTTATACATCCTTGGGGTATAACGACGGGGCCGAACTGCTTTGCTGCCTTGTGGCAGTGAAAGATGTCTTCACCACACCTCCACCAGATAGCCATAAGAACAGCTACCACGGCAAGCCTTGCAAGGAGGGCTACGATGCACATTTGTCGCCCAGCGGCAAGGAGCTGGTCGTCTTCAATCCACGCCAGATTCTTCCCTGCTTCACCTTGCACCTGTCACGGGAAGTACACCTCTCAGGCCAGCAGGTTATGTCTGTTGCCGCATCGAGTTACGGCAAGAGCTCGCGCAGCGACTATGGCCCTTCTTTGTAGGACGAGGAGCAGATTCCCAGCCTCACAGCCAGGGATGCTCAAGATCAGAGCCAATTGTGACAACAACTCCGGCATGTGATGTACAAGTCTCATGGCGATTTTTTTTTAAGCAGAGTCCTACCTTCCAAGTCCTCCGTGCAAAAAGCTGTGCACACGCGTTGGCAGTTGATGAGCTGGATCTCAGCTCACGCCCTCAGTCCCCCTTCACTCCGAGGTTCGGGCGCTCGCACCTGATCAAGGCCAGGGGGGAGGGGGGTATTTTGGGCAAGGGGTTTAGGGGCTTAGGGGCTTAGGGGCTTAGGGGTTTAGGGGTTTAGGGTTGTAGGGTTTAGTGTATTTTGAGCAAGAGGGGGTAGGGAGATTGTCGGATGCGGGTGGTAGGGTTAGAGTCCCAACTAAGGCTGTGGGGATTTCAGTGCTTCTCCAGGCGAGCTATAGGAAAGGGGATAAGATGAGTCGTCCCACGCTCTAGAGACGGATGTGCGGGTGTCATCTCTGCGCTTCGGGTTTTGGATTTTGATACCCTTCAGTCACCCTAAACACTCATAGGCGCTTCTGCGCGACCCTGAGCTGGAGAGGCGACGTCCGAAACCGACCTCAGCACCGCGGTCCCCTCGGAGGTGGGCAGAGTTAGGGGCTTATGTAGGTCTGAGTTTAGGGTGTGGGGGGGGGGGGGTTAGGGTTCTAGGCGTTTATGGTTTTTTTGGGGTTTTGGGTTTTTTAGGGTTTGGTTTACGGGGCTATAAAGGAGGTTTTGGGGTTTTGGGCGTTTGTAGGGCTCGGGGGGGGATGGGGTTTAGGGTTTTTGGGGGGCCTGAAAGCCCCCAAACTCAAGACCCTAAACCCACTTCGGGGTTGTTAGGGTGGCTCCCTTTGCATCAAACATCTTGTTTCAAAAAGGGCACCCAAAAAGAAGGGGACCCGAATTTCGACGACAACCTCCATAGATGTAACCTTGCCTCTCTGCCTAAACCCTAAGTTTTAATGGTGGGGTGGGATGGGGGTGATCCAAACCCTGCGCGCTTTTCGGGTCTCCTGTATCATAGAAAGTTTTCTTTAGTAAGAGCCCCTAAACCGAAGCCCTAAACCCAAAACCTTTAGCCCTAAGCCCTAATTAAGCCCTAAACCCTAAACCCTAAACCCTAAACCCTAAACCCTAAACCCTAAACCCTAAACCCTAAACCCTAAACCCTAAACCCTAAACCCTAAACCTAAACCCTAAACCCTAAACCCTAAACCCTAAACCCTAAACTCCAACCGATTCGGAAGCTCTGGCTCCCCAAGCGAACACAAGAGCAGGCTCCCGGCACCACCTGCGAGTCGGAGGCCTCTACCTTGGACTTTTGCTTGGAGGTTCAGGGTTAGGGTTTAGGGTTTAGGGTTTAGGGTTTAGGGTTTAGGGTTTAGGGTTTAGGGTTTAGGGTTTAGGGTTTAGGGTTTAGGGTTTAGGGGGGTACTTACTAACCAATTATAACTGTACTTATAACTGTACTTATAAGCCCCTTAAGCGCCCTAATATGGTTAAAAGTTCAGTTATAAGCACAGAGACAATGTATTTGGTTAGTAAGTGCCTTGAGCCGCCAAGTGAGGTTGCAGGGGACCCTGAGAGATGATCCCTAAACCCTAAACCCTAAACCCTAAACCCTAAACCCTGAATAAGGGGGCTCCTCCCAGAAGCGCCTTCGGGGCTCAGGGTTTTGGGGTTTACGGGCCGAGGGGTTTAGGGCATGGGGTTTAGATTTTTTGGGGTTTGGGATTTTTGGGGTTTGGGGTTTGGGGTTTGCGGTGTCGGGAGTCGGGGTTCAGGGTTTGGGGTGTAGGGTTTTGGGGTTTGGGGTGTCGGGCGTCGGGGTTCAGGGTTTGGGGTGTAGGGTTTTGGGGTGTGGGGTTTAGGTTTGGGGTTCAGGGTTTAGTGGTTTACACATCGCTAGGCTTAAAGACGAAGAGATTGCCCAGGGCTGGGTGATAGAAGTGCCAGGAGGCGAGCCAGCCGCCAGGAAAAGATGGCCCAAGGGCATAGCCATCGGCAAACTCAATGTCGTGCAGGCAGAGGGGAAGGACCCTCGCATGGTTCTGGACAACTCCGTCTGCAACGTCCCAAATGCACCGTGCCTGAGCGCGTCTGCCCACATCCGCAGACGTCCTAAGCAGAACCAGAACTCAAGGATGCCACCCGCACCGTGGAGTTGTGAAGGGGTGCGTTTTGCATGGCCTGCGTGGCGGAGTAATTGAGTGGCCTTTTTCAATCTAAGGGGAGGGGCTTTGCCAGGGTCGCAAGGGCTTCATGGCGGCTGAAGAGATGGATAGAATTTTCGCCCTGCCGCAGTAGAGGGTCTAGCTAGATGGTGGCATCTCTACATCATGATCGATTTGGAGTCAGGGTTGCCTTCGGTTTGGTCTTTTGAGGTAGGTTTAAGCTTCAGGCTTTAGGGTTCGGGTTCAAGTGCTCAGACCCTAAACCCTAAACCCTAAACCAACCCAAAAAGCCCTAAAACCCTAAACCCCTAAAACCCTAAACCCATATTCCACCCTAAACCCCATCAACCCTAAACTCCTAAACCCCTACCCTAAATCCCTTAAACGCCTAAACCCCCAAACCCTAAAGCCCTAAACCCCCTTAAACCCCGTAAACCCCAAAACCCTGAGCCCTGAAAACCCGTCAACAACAAAAACCTTGAACAGCTTAAAACAACGTCACAAACAAAAGAAAGCAAAACCCCTAAAAGTCCCTAGACCCCAAACCCCAAACCCTAAAACCCTAAACCCTGAACCCCAAAGCCTAAACCCTAAACCCCAAACCCTAAACCCTAAGAAACCCCAAAACCCTGGGAGCCAGGCCTGGGCTCCTCGCTTTGGCGGCTCAGAGGCTGGAGTTCATTTGTGGGTTTGGGGTTTGAGGGTTTGAGGGTTTGGGGTTTAGGGTTTGAGGGTTTGAGGGTTTGAGGGTTTGGGGTTTGGGGTTTCGGGTTTGGGGTTTTGGGTTTAGGGTTTGGGGTTTCGGGTTTAGGGTTCAGGGTGTGGGGTTGAAGGGTTTAGGGTTGAGGGTTAGGGTTTAGGGGTTGAGGGTTTAGGGTTTGGGGTTGAGGCTTTGAGGGTTTAGGGTTTGGGGGTTGAGGGTTTGAGGTTTTGGTATTAGGGGTTGGGGTTGAGGGTTTGAGGGTTTCGGGTTTAGGGCTCGGGGTTTAGGGTTTGGGGTTGAGGGTTTGGGGTTGAGGGTTTAGGGTTTGGCGTTTAGGGTTTAGGGTTGCAGGGTTGAAGGGTTTGAGGGTTTGAGGGTTCAGGGTAACCCGAAATTGCAGCATGCTCAGCTGCTTCGCGCAAGCTCGGGGCTTGGGGTTTCAACCATCACGGTTGGACTTCGAAAACTCTGACGGCGAGAGGTTCGGGCTTGATGGTTCGTGGGTAACACAGGGGCCATAAAAACACCAAGATCATCCCCTTTCTACCAGTGCATTTTTCAACTATCACATCGACCACTGAATTGGGTTTATTGATGTTGGAGAAGGCCGCTCCAACAGGGGGGCCGGACCTGGCAATTGTTTGCAGAGGCTTGCCACCCGACATGTGGGGGTTTAGAAATAAAGGGACCCCTAAAAGAGACCCCCAAATAGTAGGATTCCCTTATAAGAAGGACCCCAAGAATCGCCCAAGAAGGTACCCCGAAGTTCGGAAACCCCCCATATTCTTCCGCTGGACATGCGCCGGACCCTCTAAAACCGAACGCTTCACGGCCATCGCAGGTGAGCGAGGTCAGAGCAGACCCACCGCGCCAAGCATCAGGGGCACCCGCCTCCCCGGAGCCCGTCAAGGACCTGTCTTGAACCTGGTGTTGTATGGGTTTAAGTTGGGGTTTTCCCCTTGTACATGACTAGCAGTCCTTAAAAGGGGATTAGAGTAGCAACTGATATAATCCCTACTAAGGACTGATAGTATAAGGGGGAACATCCCAAGGTTTAGGGGTCAGGGGTAGCTCGGGAAGAAGCTTCGGCAGTTAGGGTAGTCTAGGTTGGCTTAAGAAGCCAATTGGCTTCAGAAGCCAGCAAGCCAACGCAAGCCGCACCATTTCTTCAGTGGGTTTGCAGTTGTTTTGCAGTTCCAAGTAGGGCTTTGTGGCATTTTTTACTTTCCCTTATTGGGTTTAAGAGGATCGTATTCAGGAACCCTAAACCCAAAACCCTAAACACGAAACCCTAAACCCGAAACCAGACAGTTGAAGGGCCATCCTAGAATTCTATCTGCGGCCGAGTGAAGGGTTTAGGGTGGGCTTTTATCTAGGACCTCCAAACCAACCCCTAACCCCTAAACCCTAAACCCTAAACCCTAAAAGAGTTGAGGGCAAAATGAACCCGAGGGTCCGGGCTTAAGGATTACAGGTTTGATGCTCCCTCAATCCTCCCCCCCCCCCCCCCCCCCCCCCGAAGAAAATTATGCCCATAAATTCTCGGGGTTTAGGGTTCCGGGTACAATAGTTTAGGGTCCTTGGAATAGCTTGTAGCAAGAGACGATAAACTTCATGCTGTTATGAGTCATATGTCGACTAGAAAACTTGATTAAATAGCAAATGTCGTCATCTTCGTGATTATAGTAACAAAGATCAGAGAACTACATAGATCCAAGCACCACACGCACGTTACATTAACCCGTAAGTTAGCACTATAAACAACATGATGATGATGATCATCATCATCAAAGGCTTTTCTCCCACTTCTACATGGTAGGGGAAGGGACCCAAGTTTCATCTGCGACCCAATGCCGGCACCGCAGGACTCGATTAGTCGAGACCAGGAGCCCGAACCAAGCAAAGGGGAGGAGGCAAGGAGTGTGTAGGGTTTAGGTTTTAGGATGCCCGTCATGATTTTAATATTGGTTTCACAAAAGAGTGAAAGAGCCCAAAATGTTGTAATTACAAGCCCACGTTAACTTACCTTGAAATTAAACTATTACGGGGGCGAGTGAATGAACGTAGTGAATTCACGTACACCCAACCCTCTATCTCTAGCTCCTGTTCATGGTTGATCTGGGGCTGAGTCTCAATGTCTTGAGTTACTAACCGGCTTAGAGACCATTCCAACCGCAGCACAGCACCCATCACACCTTGAGACCCTCACGCTTATATCTTGCTCTAACCGTTCACACCCTTGTCTCTTGGAATTCTAGTACAAATAAGCCCCACATGCTGGTCAGGAAAAAGAGCGTAAGAGTAGCAGCTGCTGATTAAGTTACGTTACGGCTCTTACTTTACGACTATTCATTCTGTCGTAGTGTTGTAGGATGCATCTGGCAGCATACATGTGCACTGGTCGGCAGTGGCTAACCCTACAACTTTCTGGCAGTGCGTACTATAGGAAGGTGATGCAGTTGATGCAGTCACCATTGCCACTGTCGTTGCTGTAGTGGTCGTCCAAGGGGTGTGGTCGTGCCCATCACTGCTTGTTCCAGTGCGTTGACTACTTCTACATCGTGCATAACAGCCATCCGCTGTTCAGCACAGGGCGCCATGTGGTAGTTTTGCTTGTTCCGACAGCAACTCGTCCCAGTCTGCTCAACATACTTGTCCTGAGCCTTGATCCATTGAATGTTGCCTTACTTAATTCAGATCCAATACCTGCACGCCTACTTGCGCAAGCTGAATGAGTTGGCTCCGATACCCTAAACCCTAAACCCTAGACCCCAAACCCTAAGCCCTAAACCCTAAACCCTAAACCCCAGGGTTTAAGTTTCAAGCGCTTGGAAGGTAGCGCCCGCGGTGCCCATGAAGCCGATGGAGCCCGCGAAGATGGAGGAAACGGGGGTTTCCGAAATTGGGGGTACCTTCTTGGGGTCCTTACCCTGATTTGGGGATTTAGGGTGTAGGGTTTAGGGTTTAGGGTTTAGGTTGGCGATTTACGATATTGGGGGTACCTTCTTGGGGTCCTTAATGTAATATAAGGGAATCCTACGACTTGGGGCCTTTATTGGGGGTCCCTTGCATCGTACACACCCAACGACTCAGGGTTTAGGGGCTTGTGGCGCAGTCAACTGGGGGTTGAGGGCTGGGGGTTTAGGATTTTAGGGTTTAGGGCTGGGATTGGGTAAGCTTTGTTCTGAAGCTTTGAGTTTAGGGCCCGGAAAACCCTGAAGCTTGAACTCAACGGATTCGAAACCCTAAAAAGTTCAGGCGACGTTCGCCGACATCTCACACTCAAACGTGGACATGGGGTTGTTCTAGATTATGGGCTCTTTTGGACCATAACCAAAAGGGTTTAGGGTTTAGGGCTCCCCAAGCTCAATGGGTTCTTCCGTGATAGAAGCGGGAAACCTTGACCAGGGATCACCATCTCAGATCAATCCGAACTTGGAACCCCAAACCCTAAACCCTAAACCCGAACCCTAAACCCTAAACCCTGAACCCTGAACCCTACACCCTAAACCCCAAACCCCAAACCCCCCCAAACCCTAAACCCTAAACCCTTATAAGGCCTCAGCAGTAGGAGGCAAGTGTTCAGGGGGGGGCATGACAAAGGTGCTCTCAGGGCTGAACACCCTCGACCCCAAAACCCAAAACTTTTGAGTGACTCCATCATGAGACTTCGCATTTCTGTCCGGGAAAGGCTAGGGTTCAGGGTTTAGGGTTTAGGGTTGAGGGTTGAGGGTTTAGGGTTGAATTAGGGTTTAGGTTTTAGGGTTTAGGGTTTAGGGTTTAGGAGAAATGGAGCCCGTTCTAACCCATCTTGCAGAGTCCCTCCCTTTCAGAACCCCCAGGAAGGGACCCCTTGACTCTTCTCGCCAGCCCCTGTTTGAAAGGGTTTAGGGTTTAGGGTTTAGGGTTTAGGGTCTAGGGTTTAGGGTTTAGGGTTTAGGGTTTAGGGTTTAGGGTTTAGGGTTTAGGGTTTAGAGCCATCGCTTTCATGTGTTTAGGGCCAAGGGGTCGCTTTTCTCCTTGCTGTCGCGACAGGACCACGATGAGCAAGTGTCAGGCAGGATGCGGGTGCAGGGTTTGGGGCTCCAAACCCTAGACCCTGAATCCTAACCCTAAACCCTAAACCCTTGGATGTTCTTGTTGTGGCTCCCCGAGACCTGGGTTCCTTGTGTGGCTTACGGAATATTCCTTAATACAGCGGTATTGGAGCCTGTGAGTTGAACTTGACAGGGTGTAGGGTTTAGGGTTCAGGGTTTAGGGTTTAGGGTTTAGGGTTCAGGGTCTAGGGTTTAGGGTTTAGGGTTCAGGGTCTAGGGTTCAGGGTTTGGGGTTTCCGATACTACTAGGCAAGATTCCCCCAAGCGAGGCCTCATGGCCCCAGCCATGCGCAGGAGCTGCGCCTGCCCGATGAATGCTATCCTGGTTTAGGCTAGGACCTAGAGTAAGCACTTATTTCCCTTAGCAAGTAGGGCGGGTTCTGAAGGTGGGCTATGGGGATGAATGAAGGGGGTTTAGGGGATACTAAGTAGACCTGCTGAGTCAAAAGGGCTTCCAAGTGCACCAACCTTCAAGGACTTCTTCCTTGGACCTGCCCGAAGCCCAAAACCATTCCCACACCCTTAAAACTGAGCCCCTGGACCTTAGGATTTGCGCAGTCGTTGGGTACTTTGGTACAGAACGTCTTAGGGACATATTCCAAGTATGTTAGTATGTTCAGGGAGTCCTTTGGGGGTACTCTAAACCCTAAACCCTGAACCCTAAACCCTGAACCCTAAACCCTAAACCCTGAAGCCTAAACCCTGGACCCTGAACCCTAAACCCTGCACCCTACATCTTGACCCCTACCTCAAATCTCAGGTCGGAACCATGGGCCCTTAGTTTGTCCCTTACCCTTGTTTAAAGGGAGCCGAAGTCTCGGCCCGCATTATGACAAGTGTTTAGGGTTTAGGGTTTAGGGTTTAGGGTTTAGGGTGAGAGGGACCCAAACCCTGGAGGTTGACCTCTCAACCCGAAGCTGAATCCTACACCCTCTGAACCCTAAACCCTACACCCTAAACCCTAGCCCTAAACCCTAGCCCTAAACCCTAAACCCAACACCTAGCAGGGTTACGAGGCTGTGTCCCTTGCAACCTGGGAGGTGGTGCGGTGCTTACCCGGATGCCCTCCAGGCCAGTGAGAACCGCAAAGAGTGCAGGGTTCAGGGTTTAGGGTTTAGGGTTTAGGGTTAAGGCTTAAGGGTTTAGGGTTCAGGGTTCAGGGTTTTGAGTTCAGGGTTCATGGGACTTAATAACCACTTATAACTGTACTTATAACCATACTTATAATGGGGATAACCCCTGTAAGGCCCTTTAGGGGTATTGGGTATTATAAGTAGGGTTATAAGTACAGTTACAATTGGTTAGTAAGTACCATGAACCTCCCAGTAGGGTTCAAGGTTTAGGGTTCCGGGTTAGGGTTCAGGGTTTTAGGGTTTAGTTCAGGGTTCAGGGTTTAGTTTAGGGTTTAGAGTTTAGGGTTCAGGATTCAGGGTTTAGGGTTTAGGCTGTAGTAGGAGAGAACCTTAAGACCCTAAGCCCTACAAGCTCTACAAGCACAATCCAAACACTTAAGCCGCTGAAGCCTTGAGCCGTAAAAACCCTTATCCCGAGCGCTCAACCTTGGACAAACCCCAAAACCCAAAACCATAAGGACCTCAACTGCAAAGCCTGCATCGAGTACTTTGCATGGACTAGGCTTCTTTACACGCCTTGAAGCAACTTCCTAAAACCTAAACCCTAAGCCCTAAACCCTAAGCCCCAAACCCCCTTGAGAAAGAAGCGAGTGCGTCGTAGCGAGTTTAGGACTCACCTGACCTCTCTATGAAAGGCAGAACGACAGCGAGTATGGCGATGACTTTGAAGAGGAGCCAGAGGAGGAGGAGGACACTGTGCCAGTTGCAGGGATAAGTCTTGGGTTTAGGGTTTAGGGTTTAGGGTTTAGGGTTTAGGGTTTAGGCTTCAAGGTCTAGGGTTCAGCGTTTAGGGTTTAGGGATATCATGCCCCTCGTCGTATGCCAGGTACGCAAAACGAATTAGCGCTTTCTTCATTTAGTGTTTAGCACCCAAACAAAAACGGAGCTCCCGTCTTTGTTGTTAGGTTCCTGGGGAACCAGGACAGTTATGAGCTGATTCTTGCGCCCATCTGTCGGCGGATTCTGCATAGGTTTTTGCGGCTTTATGTTTACGATCTTAGGGTTTGGAGCTCAGGCTAGGATCGCGTTCCAGGGAACCCTACCTTACGAAAGGTTTCACATAAACCCTAAACCCAACTGACCACCTTAATCCTTCCGAAGGCCCTTTGGCCCTTTTGGCACAGATGCCACAGCTCAGGAAGATGTGTGCTTGTCACTGCATGACTTGAAGGTTCATGGGTAGCTAGAAGTAGGGTAGGAGTATGGTAACTGTACTTCTGACCTTATTTGGGGTTCGTCTAACCCTGCTTTTAGTTGCCCATGAACCTTCAAATAGCCTGCGGGCATACAAACAATCCAAGCAAGCGCGTGCATGCACACGCACACCCTAAACCCTAAAGCCTAAATCCAAAACCCTAAGGCAGGATGTTGCTTTGCCTCCACCCTTTGTCCTGCAGCAAGAATCGGGCAAGCAACTATCTGAGCAACGTGTACTTGGACGTTCAGGGTTAGTTTTAAGTAGGGTTGTAAGTGCCCTAGATAAGGCTGCAAATGAATTTTCCATGCTTGTAACTTTTAACCCACATATTCCTATCCAAATGAACCTCCAAGTATGCTTCGCGGAGGAGGTTGCACGGCCTGCAATAGTGGTTGTGGCTGCACCGCCTCCTCAGCCAGCGAAGGACGACAATTGATGAGTTTCTGGAAATGGGTTTAGGGTTTAGGGTTTAGGGTTTCGGGTTCAGGGTTCAGGGTTTCGGGTTTCTGTTTCCAGTTCTTTCCGGTGGTTTCCGGTTGTAGCTGGTAAAGAAAAGATGCCCGTTTGGCTTCCAGGGGGTGGTGTCAGGATTTCTAGAAGGCATAGCATGAGGTTCGCAAGGACCCGCTTGGAGGGTTTAGGGTTTAGGGCCTTTAGCGTTTAGGGTTTAGGGTTTATTGTTTAGGGTTTAGGGTTAGGGTTACAAGTATGGCAGTGACAAGTTTTCCGGGTACTTCGAACCCTACTTATGTAACTACCCATGAACCTCCAAGTAACCCCTTAAACCCTAAAGCCCATAACCCCCCTAAACCCGTAAACCTTAACCTCCAAGTATAGTCAGATCTCTAAATTTCAAAATGCCCTATAAACCCAGAACAACCCTATTATCCCTTAAACCCTATAAGCCCTATCAACCCTATGAGCCATAAACTCTGTTCTTGAACCCTAAACCCTAAGACCCTATAAGCCCTTTAGAAGCCTTAACCCCTCACTTCTAAGCTCTGTTCTTGAATGTTTTTTGGGACCCTATAAGCCCTGTAAGCCCTATAACCCCTCACTTCTAAGCTCTGTTCTTGAATGTTTTTTGGGACCCTAGAAGCCCTTTGTAAGCCCTATAACCCCTCAATTCGAAGCTCTGTTCTTGCAAGTTTTTTGGAGGACTCTCCCGGCACGGTGCAAGCCAGCGAAGCTGTTCCTGCCTGGGCCCAGCAGGCCAAGGCAGGCTTCTTCACTTCCTTGTAGAGTAGGGAACCTTTAACCCTTTTTGGGGGTAATACCCCCCCCCCCCCCCCCCATATAATCCCAAAGGCTAACCTTTAGTCCCCCTAGGTACTGGACAACTAGGTTCGAGCTTAGGGTTTCCTGGTAGCCCAGTGGTACCCTTTACCCTTTTTGTTGGTTATGGGTTCCCTTATGAAATAACCAACCCAAAAAAGGTTGCCCTCATTACAATATGGTTGCTGGGCTGCCAAGGTTTCTGGGGTTTTGAGTTTCGGGTTTCTAGGGTTTAGGGTTTCTCGGGTTTAGGGTTTAGGGTTTCTAGGGTTTTGGGGGTTCTAGGGTATACGGTTTCTAGGGTTTAGAGTTTATAGGGTTCATAGGGCTTATGGGGTCTCTAGGGTCTAGGGTTTCTAGAGTTTAGGGTTTAGGGTTTAGGGGTCTTAGGGTTTCCGAAGCCTGTTTTTGCTGTAGGGTATTGTTCTTATGTAGTACTTTGCTTATTTTGAGTACTTATTTGTTTACTCATCTACTATGGTGTTTTTTGCGTACTCCGCTTCAACTCCCTTCCTGGTTCGTCTCAAGGTTCCTTTCGTCTTAGCTTGCTCACTGCAGTCCCCCAAGAGCGATGTAGCAGAACGCATCTTGTTCTATCGCCTTTGGCTGCGCATTGCAAGGGACCGAGTTGTTCCTCGACCTTGAAGAGGAATTGCAGCAACGGAATGCTGGACCTGGTATGTGGTAAACCTCCAATTAAACCCCAAGACCTCTAGGAACCCAATAAGTTGGTAAACCCTTGCGGCTGCGCTGTGGGGAGGCGAAAACTATGCCTAACAACAACAACCTGGCTGGGCGTGAGGAGGTCAAGGCTCGATTTAGAGGGGTTTTAGGGCTCACGGTTATTAAGGATCTGGCATCTATTGGCAAGTACTTGGAGGCTTCTGGGTAGGTTTAAGATGCACTATACTTAGAGACCTTTATTATAAGGTACTTAAAACCCTACTTAGAACTGCCCTGAATCTCCAGTGAAGGAACCTTGCACCTAAACCCTAAACCCTAAACCCTAAACCCTAAACCCTAAACCCTAAACCCTAAACCCTAAATCCTAAACCCTAAACCCTAAAAAGTTGGATGAGCTCAAGCTTGATTTCAGTGGGTGGGGGTGGAGGTGGGGGTGCGGGAGAGGGGGGGCTGAAGCCGAAGCACCAGCAGCCGGAAGTAAGCCTCCTAAACCCTAAACCCTAAACCCTAAAGAACCCTTCCAGGAGCCGGCGAAGGGAGACAAGGACTTGGCGCAGGCAAAGTCTCAGGTTTCGAGCCTAAGGCGAAAGGCTTTTGGGGATTTTCAGCTCAGTAAGGCATTTGAGGGCTTCGTTTTCCAGGGTCAGGGCATGCTCTTCGGGTCCTTTCCTTCTAAACCCTAAACCCTAAACCCCAAACCCTAAACCCCAAACCCCAAACCCCAAACCCTAAACCCTAAACCCTAAACCCTAAACCCTAAACCCTTCCTTGATTGAGGAGGGGATTGGGCTCCCCCTGGGAGGTTCAGGCGGTTGTTGCACATTGTCAACCCTAACCTGCTAGGGAGGGGGTTCAGCCCAGCGACTCCAATACCCCTTAGTTTAAGGAATATTCCTTAAAGAATAAGAGGGTTTGAGGAATATTCCTTAAATAATAAGAGGGTTCCTTATATAGTTTAAGGAATATTCCTTAAATAATATGAGGGTCCCTTATATGGTTTGAGGAATGGTCCTTAGAGAATAAGAGGGTTCCTTAGATGGTTTATAGGAACACTCTAAACAAAATAAGAGGGTGCTTTATATGGCTTCAAGGAATATTCCTGAATTAAGGGATTGGTAAACCCTAAACCCTAAACCCTACAATATCGAAGTAGCGTCTCTAGTACTCCTTCATTCAACATGAGGGCCGCTACAGGCTTTAAGCCAGCTGCATGGTGCTTGTAAACACTATAAACCCTGAACCCTGGCCCCGAAACCCTAAACCCTGAACCCTGAACCCTGAACCCTGAACCCTAAACCCTAAACCCTAAACCCCAGCCAAAGGCCACGTCTCCAGCGCAAGCTCCAGAAGAGGGCAGCGAAGTGGAAAGCAACTACGACGATGAGCAGGATGCATTCGAGCAGGCGAACTTCCTGCCTTGGGGTTTAGGGTTTAGGGTTTCAGGGTTTTGGGTTTGGGGTTTAGGGTTTAGGGTTTAGGGGTCTTTTCAGCGCCTTTCAGGGTTTAGAGTTTGAGATTTAGGGGTTAGGTGATCTAGTGAAGCTTTTCGGAAGCTCAACTCCCCCCCTTGTTGGGCAGACCGGGGACGCAGTATGCGTGTGTACGTGGCGGAGTGCGCACGCCTCTCATCTTGCTTGCGTGCGCAATGAAGCTGTTCCGTAGAGCCGGGGATAGCTTGATCATCTATCCATACAAGGGGTTTATGCCATCGCAAATGCCAGACGCAGCTTGACGAAGCGGAAACGAGGCCTGAGCTCTTGAACAAAATTTCGCAATCTGCGATGAAAGAAGAACCCGTAACGTCTCACTATAACATCCTCTGTGTGTGTGGGGGAACTGTTCGGTCCAGGCACATGTGCCGTTTAGGGTCAAGGTTTATAGGGTTCACTATCCAACTAATGCCCGCATGATGCTTGGGTGACCAAACCGCACATTGATGGCATTTTTAGGGCAAGATATGCAGGGGATGCACGGCTTTCCTGCCTGGCTTGGCACTGACGCCCCAGATCGCAATCAGGACATCTAGCAATGGGATCCAGTTTGTTTACGAACCAGCGAAAACATGGTCGCAAGTCCAGATCTTTTCGCTCCGTGTTGGCAAGTCAGGACCTTCTTTTCCGGAACCGCAGTCTCAGAAGGGCATGTGCACTTGCAAGCGAGCATGTTGAGCAACAATGAGTTGTGCCAGAGTTTGTACCGCACCATGTCGGTGGCTTTGACCCAAAACCCTAAGCCGTTTAAGAAATGGAAGCCGGATCTGTGTAGGTGGCTTTTGATCGCTCCCTGCAGATACACTGCCTTCCCACTTCATGAGATGCTCGCAGACCGCGTAATGCGGTTATTCTTGCAGGCCTCTCACCAAACAATCGCCTCCACCTTCACTACCCCTGCTGTTTTCGAGGCATCAGCACGCCACCATTCAACGCGCACACCACCATTCAACACGCACGTGCAACTGAAAAGCTGCTCTTTTAGCTTCGCAGACACAAGGCAGACCCATTGGCTCTCTTGAACGGCTGAATGCATTTTCCAGTCAGCCTCGATTGTCCGAAACAAAAGGTAGAAAAACCCTCACTTTCCACCACCCACTCCTGTCCAGAGTGATCCTGATGTGTCTTTCGCACGTTTTGAAGGTGCCGACCTGCAACCCCTGAGCCCCCTAAACCCCCTGCAAGGATTAGGGAAGTTCTTAGGGTATAGGGGTTAAGGGTTTTAGGGTTCTTAGGGTTTTATTTTAGAGTTAAGGGTTTAGAACTGTTGCAGGAGTCGTCGGAACCGACACCGGCGCCAGTGGCATCATCGCCCTTGAGATCAGCGGCAAGCTACGACGACGAGGAGTTCGAGGCCCGAGCCATGTAGGTTTTACCTAGCCGAAGCCACATCTTCACCCGCCCGGCATGAGCATGAACTATTTTTTGGGGGTACAGGGTGTACGCATCTTGTCTGAAGTTGCAGAACTGCCCTGCTGTTGACTTAGGATCGAACTTGCTTTTGACCCGGCAAGTTTTTTTGGGCTTGGGGCCATTGGACCCAAAGTGAGGGCCTGGAAGAGTTTTAGGGCTAAGTCCAAGGGCCCGTGCTTGTTCTCAGGGGGTGGCAAGCCCCTGAACCCTCATCCCTAAACCCTATAAACCCTAAAGCGTATCCAACCTTCAAACCAAAGCAGCTTTGACAATGATCCTTATAGGAGTCGCTTGATGCTTTCAGGGTTTGGGTAGGACTTTCGGGCTTTGCATGCCAGGCTAGGTTACGGTGCTGCAACTGTTTTGGACCCGATAACCCCGATAGCCCCTCTAACCCCAATAGCTCCAATATCCCCTAAACCCTAAACCCTATAAGCCCTAAGCTTACGTCCAGGAACAGCTTTCGGAAGAGCTCGGCGCCGATCCTCCGAAAGGCCCAGCAGGCTCGGGCATGCCGAACTCTGCACTTCGTCATTTAAAACCTCCATAGAAGTATTTTGTTATTGCTAGTAGAACTTATCATTGTTAGTGATTATTCTTAGTAGTGCTAGTGTTATTTAGGTTGTATATACATATACCTACATATACTGTTGATCGTATAGCTTGCATTAGCTCTTCTTATCAGTGTTAGTATTATGTGTGTTGTCCTCACATATACCTACATATATACATACACATGTGTATGATTATGCACGTATGCATGTATTACATTGTATGCATATATGCATGTATGCACATATGCATGTATGCATGTATGCATGCATGCATGCATGCATGCATGCACGTATGTATGTATGTATGTATGTATGTATGTATGTATGTATGTATGTATGTATGTATGTATGTATGTATGTATGTATGTATGTATGTATGTATGTATGTATGTATGTATGTATGTATGTATGTAATGTATGTATGTGACACACACACACATATATATATATATGTATATGTATATACACATGTTTGTATGTATCAACTGCAAATAGCGCTACATGCCCGACCCGAACATCGAGAGAGCCCAGGAGATTTCCGGGTGGGGAAGTCGAAAGTGTAAGGGAGCTTTGAGCTCGGGGTTTATGTTTTCGAGAATTCTTGGGGCTTAGGATTCTTGGGGCTTCGGGCCGGGGGGGGAGAAACACAGAACCCGTGCCGTTCAGGTACGCCTCAAGGGGAGCGGTGGGCGGTGGGGCGGTACACACTGAGGCCCCTGGGAGGGGATTCGAGGTGGGAGCCTTCTCGAGCTTCCGGTTCCTCCTGGCGCATCGCCAGAAGTTCCAACAGCCTTTGCGAAGCCCACAAGCCTGTTTTGTTTTGGGGCTTCGCGATCCCATTCGAATTTTAACGCCTACTGGAGCTTTCTGGAAGCCTCGTACGGAGCCTTGCGGTGCTCGTGCCCCTTTGTTCAGCCGACGGCTGGAGCTCAGGAGCTCGTCCAACGTTTAGGCAAGCGGCGCCCCCCCCAACGCCACGCCACGAGCGGTCTGGGTGCTTTCAACAGCAGCAAGCCGGCCTACTACACACTTGAACACGTGCTAGTGTGTACTGCTTACCACATATCTAAACCGCAGAACCCCCAAACCACTCTTTGAGGAGCCCCCTCCACACCCAAGAGGGGTTTAGGGTTTAGGGTTTAGGGTTTAGGGTTTAGGGCTTGGTCACCCGAGGCCAGCAGCAGCCTGAGGCCGTCTCGGGGGCCTCCTCACCAGCAGAGGCCGTCTCCCTCAACCCTAAACCCTACACCCTAAACCCTACACCCTAAACCCTAAACCCTAAACCCTACACCCTAAACCCTAAACCCTAAACCCTAAACCCTAAACCCTAAACCCTAAACCCTAAACCCTAAACCCTAAACCCTAACCCCAAACCCGAAGCCCTAAACCCTAACCCTGGACCCTAGACCCTAGACCCTAACCCCTAACCCTCAAACCCTAACTAGGCCCCAAACCTTACCCCCCCCCCCCCCCCTAGTCCTTAATATCCTAGAGACCCTGTCAGTCGTAGACCCGACATCAAGCCCCAACTCCAAAGCCTCCACCTTGGGGTGGGTGTGGAATGGCTTTGCATCTTGGGCTTGGACTCATTCCGGGCCTTGGCTTGCCCTGCATTGATTTACAATTTCTTACACGGGGGGCCTCCACAAAATTTGACTTCTCAAGATTTTCCTGGGCCGTAGCTGGATCCGGCATGGTATGTGGCACCTTTGTGCCAGGAGCAGATCTCCGAGGAGCTGGAGGATGTCGCTGAACCGAGCCGCCTGGCAGCATCGCAGGTTTCCGGCTTCGCTTGTCTGCAGCTGCTCCAGTGCGCGAGAAGACTTTTGAGATTCGGGTCTAGGCCCGTGGGAAACCCAAAATCCATAAGACACGATACGAAACCCGTCTTGCATTGTCCATGTCGCCAGAGACGGAAAGTACTTTTGCTGCTTCGTGCTTGCACATCAGGGCTGCGGGTAACTTTGTATTCTGTAGATATGGAGGCTTCTAGAGACCAGCGCCAACACCTCAGCAAGACCCACGTTTCATCCTAGGCCCTATACGCCTACAAGCCCGAAGCACTTAAATCCTAGGCCCCCTAAACCCTGAGCTCGTTGTCCGAGGAACTGTGCCGCGAGATGGCTCGGTCCCGCACTCAAAAATGCAGTCCTTGCACCGCTGTGATCCCAACGAGCCCAAGACCGTAGGGACTATTTCCGGATTCGGGGTCTATACCAACTCAAGTATACCCGATTGGCCAAGGTTGCATCTCCAGCGAAAGTTGTAGATGCGGGCAGCGAAGTGGCCAGCAACTACGATGACGAGCCGGAAGCTTTTGAGCAGGCGGGGTTGTGGCGTGCACGCACGTGCGTGCGTCTTAGGATTGAGGGTTTTGGTAAGCTTGTCTTGTCCATTGAAAGTTGACGCATCAGATTTGTATTATGTTATTATGTTATGACGATTTGCTACGCGGCTAGTTGCTCTTAAGCCATGGGGGTGGGGGGTTGGGGAGGGTGGGGTGGTGGGGGGGGTTGGGGGGTGGGGAGGGCCGGGGGCGAGTTGCGGGGTGGGAGGGCTGGGGGGGATGGTGGGGGGGGATGGTGGGGGGGGATGGTGGGGGAACAGCCGGTTGTGATCCCCAACTTCACTGGCCCTTATTCCTTTTGTTTGTGACTCAAGAGGCCCGAAACCTCTCAACCCTCAAAGCCGGAAAGTGTTGTTACCCTAAAGCCTAAACGCTAAACTCTACACCCTAAACCCTAGACCCTAAACCCCTAAACCAGGGTTCGGGGGTTTGAGGACGTGTTGTGGGAATGGAGGGGGGCAGAGGCTTCGAACTCTTGGAGTGGTTGGCGTAAGGTTGCAACATAGGCAACCCCCCGTGAAACCTCAACCCTAGTCCCTAAATCCCAAACCCCTAACCCTAAACCCTACTTCCCTGATAAGCCCCTTGAAACCAAAAGGGTGCCTTCTTCATTCCTAGGTTGTTCTTGTGTTTAGTTTTTTTTCTGGAGCCGTCATTCCGAAACCCTGAACCCCAGGGTTTAGGGTTTGGGGTTTAGGGTTTAGGGTTTAGGGTTTAGGGTTTAGGGTTTAGGGCGCCCCAGTAAACGACACGCGCATATGCAGCTGACAGCCTCTCCTACGCATTGGCCTTTTCCACGCGCACGCCCGGGGCGTATATTTGCTTCCCAAAAGAGAATGCCATGCCACAGTCGCAGAATATAGCAATACATCAATCTGATACTACAAATCTATATAGCATGCATTAGCATGCTCTATGTTTCCTCCAAACCGAGTCATTGCAGGCGTCATCGGAACCGACGCCGGCAGGGATGGCTCCGTCAGTAGCAGCGACTGAGAGCTACGATGACGAGGACTTCAAGGCCACAAACGCCTGATGCTTTCACGTTTGCGCTTCGGGCTGGGGTGTTTTTTTTCTGGGTTTAGGGCTTAGGGTTGGGGTTTAGGGTTTAGGGTTTAGCAGCCTAAGTCCCATGGGCCGGGCTAAATCGTGATCCGACTGGCTGGCCAGGAACAGGTTTCGGAAGAACTCGCGGCCGACCCTCCGAAAGGTCAGTCAGGCCTGGGCAGACTTATACCTGCACATTCACATCTATCTATCTATACATACATATATATATATATATCCATACGACCTGTATATATATATATGTAAAAAATACATAAATAAATAAATAAATGTATATATCTATCTATACATACATGTCTGTACATATATATATATATATAGGCCTTTACGTTTGGGTTTTGGGCAACCCTGAACCATGGCCTTTGTTCAGGAGTTTCCGATTTTGAGTCTCAAGCTCCACGCCTTAGGAGAAGCATGCTGAGAAGCCGAAACTAGGGTCAGGGTTTTTTGAGGCTTTACTCTTTAGGGTTCTGTTGAGCCCTTGACTCGAAACCAGAACTTGAGACGAGCCTGAACGCGGTGAGGCCAGCCGGGCCGCGAGGCCGCCTCGCCAGCGGAGGCTGTGCGGGAACCATGAGCACGCCACCAGTCGACATGCACAAGTCCTTGCAGACGCAAGCTCCCCCTAAACCTGCGCTTCTTTCTCCAAATCGAGCTCTCGCAGGCGGCTGAAGTGACACCAGCACCGATGGCGCCATCGGAGGAAGCAGCTGACAGCTACGCTGACGAGGACTTCGAGGCCACGCTTAGCAATGTTTAGCAGTTAGGGTCTTATGTCGAGTGTCCCAAATATACCCTTTCAGACGGGACAGCTCGCTTATTTTGGGATGCGTGTATGGGTGTGTTGAAGTTACAGGTTTGCTCAAGACAGATTCGGGATGGTTCGGTGATCGGGGCATGGCGGCATTTAGGTGGTAGGTGGCATGGTTTGTCCATGCAATTGCAGCTGGCCGAAAGTCTTGCGACCCTTCTGTTTTTCAAAGCCATTGCCGCAAGGATTTGGGGGTTTAGGGTTTAGGGTTTAGGGTTTAGGGTTTAGGGTTTAGGGTTTAGGGTTTAGGGTTTAGGTTTTGGCGTTTCGGGCTTTGGATTTTGGAGCTGAAGTGAGGCTGGAAGGCCTTGTGGTTCAGGATGTAGGGCCTGTCTAGGCACGTCATGGCGGCCCTCAGAAGAAAATGGCCGGACGCTGTCAGGGCGTCGGTGGGCCTGCTGGGGTTTCGGGTCTGTTTGGGCCCTGACTAGGTTCTCCCTAAACCCTAAACCCCAAACCCTAAACCCTAAACCCTGAACCCTAAACCCTGATTAATTCTGAGAGGCTGTAAGTGGTGAGGCTTTGTAAGGTTTGTCTGGGCCGCGGACCATTGCAGCTGGCCAGGAACAGCCTTCTGAAGAACTCGCTGCCGACCCTCCGAAGGGGCAGTCAGGCCCATGCTCATATAGAACAATATCTATAGTAAATAATATATATATATAAGAGAGAGAGAGAGAGAATAATATAAATCTATATTATGTCATATAAATTGATCAAACAAATATGTAATAAAAACAAAAATATATATTTATATTTATCTATTTATACACACATTAGATGTAGGCATGTATTGGGCTTTGGGCTGTGGGCGTTGGGTTGCATAAGCCCGAAACCCCAAACCCTGAACCTTGCCCTGTGTTGAAGGGTCTCCGATGCTGAGTCCCAAGCCCCACGCCCTCGGAGAAGTTCGTTTAGGGTTTAGGGTTTAGGGTTTAGGGTTTAAGGTTTAGGGTTTAGGGTTTAGGGTTTAGGAGGTTCTCTTGAGCCCGTTGTCGGTGAGGCCAGCAGGGGCGTGAGGCCGTGGGCGTGGCCTCCTCGCCTGCACAAACGCCGAAAGAGGCGCTCCGCCTCCCCCCACTGCGGTGTATGTTTCTGGCTTCGGGCTCGATGTCTTAACGCCGAGCGTTTTGAGGTTGATGTTTTTTTTTGTTTAGGGGGGGGTTAAGGCTTAGACCCCGAGCCCTGTGCTTCTTTCTTCGAATCGAGCTCTCGCAGACGGCGTCAGAAGTGACACCAGCGCCGATGGCGCCGTCGGCGGAAGGAGCTGAGAGCTACGCTGACGAGGACTTCGAGGCCAGACGCGTCTAGGATTGAGGTCTTCCAGGAGAAACCCAAAATGCACTTTTCAAGCGGGAAAGCCCGAAAGTCATGCGGCCCCTCTTCTTAAACCTTTGCTGCAATGATGTGGGTTTTGGTGCCTTTGGGGCTTAGGGTTTAGGGTTTAGGGTTTAGGGTTTAGGGTTTAGGGTTTAGGGTTTAGGGGTGAGGTCTTGCGGAACGCCTGTGGTTCTGGATTTAGGGCCCAGGGACCACGCCGCCTGGGAAGCGGCCCGTGCAGCTTGTTATAGCTTGTTCATAGAACCTTAGGGTTTAGGGTTTAGGGTTTAGGGTTTAGGGTTTAGGGTTTAGGGTTTGGGGTTTGGGGTTTCGGGTTGAGGGTTTAGGGTTTAGTCTGCACCCTAAACCCTTATATGAGCGACAGCTTAGATAAGTTTAGGCACATCACGGCAGCCCTCATAATAAGACGGCTTAACGCTTTCAGGGTGTCGGTAGCGCTTTCGGGTGTGCACGATGTCCTGACTAGGTTATGATAGGTTGTACATGGAAGGCGTGATGATCAAGGTTTATGACGGTTTAGGTAGGGTAGCCGCTGCCAGGAACAACCTTCCGAAGAACTCGCCGCCGACCCTCCGAAAGGGCAGTCAGGCCGTGGCATTGGGTCACATGAGCCCATAAACCCCAAACCCTGAACCCTGAACCCTAAAACCTAAACCCTAAACCCCAAACCCCAAACCCCAACCATGGCCGTTAAATTTGTTGAAGAGGCTCCGATCCCGAGTCCCAAGCTCCACGCCTTAGGAGAAGCATGCTGAGAAGCCTCAACCAGGGTCAGCGCTTTTGGGGCTTCTTAGGGTTGAAGGTTCTGTCACCCTAAACCCTAAACCCTAAACCCTAAACCCTAAACCCTAAACCCTAAACCCTAAACCCTAAACCCCGAACCTGGTGAGGTTTGCAGGGGCGCGAGGCCGTCGGCGGGGCCGCCGCGCCAGCGGAGGCTTGCCTCTCTTTTCCCCCACTGTGCGTTTAGGGTTTAGGGTTTAGGGTTTAGGGTTTAGGGTTTAGGGTTTAGGGTTTAGGGTTTAGGGTTTAGGGTTTGGGGATGTTTAGGGTTTAGAGGGGGTGTAGGGTTTAGAGTTTAGGCTTGATTCCTAACCTCGAAACACCACCAGTTGCACCTTGACCCAGCTTGATGTTTTTGGAGCCATGAGCACGCCACCACTCGACATGCACATGCAGCTCAAAAGCTGCTCCTATACATGTGCTTTGACTTTGACCCCATGTACGTCCGTAAGCGGAATAGAACTACTCGACTCGAACTGTTGAATCTCCCGTCATCTCCCCCGTCACGAACCCTCACTCCCATCCGCAGTTGACGAGGCCCAGCTTTAAGGTCTTAGGGTGGCTTATAGGGTTTAGGGTTTAGGGTTTAGGGATTGCAAGTGCCCTCGGAAACCTGTGCTCATTTCTCCGAGTCGAACTCTCGCAGGCGGCGTCAGAAGTGTCACCAGCGCCGATGGCGCCCTCGGTGGAAGAAGCTGAGAGCTACGCTGACGCGGACTTCGAGGCCAGACACGCTTAGCAATATTTGGCATTTGTAGAGTACACCAAATACCCTTTTAAACGAGCTCGCTTATTTTTGGATGGGTGTATGTGTGGTGTGTACCTTCGTTGAAGTTACCGTTTTGCTCAATGTGGGTTCGGGACGGTTTGGTGATCGGGGCATGGCGGCATTTAATTTAGGTGGTAGGTGGCATGGGTGTTGTCCACGCGATGGCAACTGGTGACCTGGCAGAGTGGGCAGGCCGAATGTCTTGCCCCCCCCCCCCCCGCCTTCCAGAAACCCTAAACCCTAAACCCAAAACCCTGAAACCCTAAACCCTAAACCCTATAAGCCCTAAACCCTAAACCCTAAACCCTAAACCCTGAAACCCTGAAACCCTGAACCCTAAACCAAGGATTTATGTAGGCTTCAGGGCCGATCTCGCGATCCGAGCAGCTGGCCAGGAACAGCCCTCTGAGGAGCTTCCTGCTGACCCGCCGAAAGAGCCGTCAGGCCGTGGCATTGGGTCACGTGAGCCCCCCAAACCCCAAACCCTAGACCCTAAACCCTAAACCCTAAACCCCAAACCCTGAACCGTGACCTTTAAATTTGTTGAGGAGTCGCCACTGAATCCAAGGCTCAACGCCTTATTTGGGAGAAGCATGCTGAGAAGCCTGAACAAATTTATAAGGCTTTTGGGGGGCTTTATTCTAAGGTGGCAGGCGTGGTTGAGTCGCGGGGTCTTTGAGGTAGGTTGAAGGTTGAGCCGTTCCCTAGGGTTCCAAGTATACAAATACGACCTACATTGAGGCCAAAGTTCTGAAATAAACCTACTTTGGTTAGCCGTTTCCCCGAGACCAGAACTATCCCTAAACCCTAAACCCTAAACCCTAAACCCTAAACCCTAAACCCTAAACCCCAAACCCTAAACCCTAAACCCTAATGAAGACCCCGAACGTGGTGAGGCCCGCAGGGGCGCGAGGCTGTCGGCGGAGCCGCCTCGCCAGCGGAGGCTTGATACCCCTCAGCCCGCCGCGGCTTGTGGTTTCGGGCCCTAAACCCTAAACCCTAAACCCTAAACCCTAAACCCTAAACCCTAAACCCTAAACCCTCAGGGTTTAGAGTTTTAGGGTTTGAAATCTCCCCCCCCTCCCTCCCCATCAGTTCCACCTTGACAGAGCTCGCCGACATGCACATGCAGCCGGGAAGCGGCCCCTTTTAGGGTTTAGGCTTTAGGATATAGGGTTTAGGGTGTGGGGTTTGGGGTTTAGGGTTTAGGGCTTAGGGATACACATGAAATGACTTTGATCCCATGTACTTCCCAAACGGAAGAGAACCACTTGAACCCCTAAGGCTCCCAAAGTAGGTGTTATTTACAGACTTTAGACCCCAATGTAGGTATTATTTGTATACTTGGAGCCGTAGGGAACTATATGCAAATTGAATCTTCGTCATCTCCCGTCACCAGCCCCCACTCCAGATCATCCGGAACGAGCCCCAGCTTTATGATTTTGGGGCAGCTTGTAAGGCTTACGCTGCAAGCGCCCCCCAAGCGCCCCCAAACCCTAAACCCTAAAATCCGAACTCTGGCAGGCGCCGTCAGAAGTGACGCCCGCGCCGATGGTGCCATCGGAGGAAGCAGCTGAGAGCTACGCTGACGAGGACTTCGAGGCCAGACGCGCTTAGCAATGTCTAGCATGTAGGTCTTATGTAGAGTCACCCAAATATACCCTTTCGGACGGGAACACGGCCTCTTTTTTTGGAATGTGTGTGTGGGTATGGGTATCCCGAAGTGTGTGTGTGTGTGTGTGTACACTTCGTATAGGTTCGGGACTGCTATAAGGGCATGGAGGTGGTCGGTGGCTGAGTGAGTACACTTTACACTTTTTGGGATACGATAATTTCTACAAAGTTTAAAGGTGTACACTTGTTTGGGGCTCATGAACTCAGCAACTAAGGGTTTTTTCCACGCCGTTGCAGCTGGTGAGCTGGCATAGTGGGCTGGCTGCATGTCTTCGGTCCCCCTTTTGGAAGCCATGGCCGCTCTAGCATGTGGGTTGGGTCGTTTTGAGCTTAGGATTTTGGAGCTGAAGTGACGTCCCTAAACCCTAAACCCTAAACCCTCAACCCTCAGGCTTTACAAGCTGATGTAGGGTTCAGGGCCGATCTCGCGATCCGGGCAGCTGGCCAGGAGCAGGCTTCCGAAGAGCTCGTTGCCGACCCTCCGAAAGAGCCGTCAGGCCCGGGCATTGGGTCACGTGAGCCCCCCAAACCCAAACCCTGAACCGTGGGGGGTTTGTTGAGGAGATTTTGAAGAGCTTCCGATCCCGAAGCCTGTTTTGGGTTTAGGGTTTAGGGTTTAGGGTTTAGGGTTTAGGGTTTAGGGCGTTGGGGTTGAAGCTTCTGTTGAGCCGTTTCCTCGAGACCAGAACTCGAAGAGCCCGAACGTGGTGAGGCCAGCAAGGGCGCGAGGCGCCTGCCCTGCCAGCGGAGGCTGAGCGAACGCTGAAGGAGGCACGTGCAGCTGAAAGTTTGCTCCTGTACACTGGCTTTGACTATTGTTTCCATGTACTTCCCAAGCGGAAACGGAAGAGAACCATTTGAAGGTCAGCTTCCCGCCAGCATCCATGCAGCCGCTACATTCGCGCTGCACTAACCCCCACTCCCATCCGGAACGAGCCCCAGCTTTAGGATTAAAGGGCGTCTTGTAAGGCTTACACTGCAAGCGCCCCCCCAAACCAGCGCTTCTTTCTCCGGACTCGAACTCTCGCAGGCGGCGTCGGCAGTGACACCAGCGCCGATGGCGCCATCGGTGGAAGAAGCTGAGAGCTACGCTGACGAGGACTTCGAGGCCAGACACGCTTGGCAATGTTTCGCATGTAGGTCTCATGGAGAGTAACCCAATTAAATATACACTTTCACACGGGAAAGCTTGCTTATTTTTGGATGCGTGTGTGGGTGTGCATGTGTGTATAAGTGTACCTTTATTGAAGTTAGAGGTTTGCTCAATGCAGGTTCGGGATGGTTCGGTGATTGGGGCATGACGGCATTTTGTCCACGCCGTTGCAGCTGGTGGGCTGGCATAGTTGGCGGGCCGAACGTCTTCGTACATTCCCCGTTTTTGAATCATTGCCGCTAGAATATATGTGTATCTACATGTGTATATATTTATATACATACATATTCATTCATACATACATACATACATATATACATATATATATATATATGTATACATGTTCTTTATGTGCTTTGGATTCTGGAGCGGAAGTGAGTTCCGAGTTCCTGAGGCTTTACAAGCTTGTGCAGGGTTCAGGGCCTGTCTCGTGATCCCAGCAGCTGACCAGGAACAGCCTTCCGAAGAACTCGCCGCCGACCCTCCAAAAGAGCAGTCAGGCCCGGGCATTGGGTCACATGAGCCTCCAAACCCAAACCATGGACCGTGGGTCGTTTGTTGAAGAGACATTGAAGAGTCTCCGATCCCGAGTCCCAAGCTCCGCGCCTTAGAAGAAGCATGCTGAGAAGCCTAAACTAGGGTCACGGTTTTTGGGGGGGCTTTCGGGTTGAAGGTTCTGTTGAGCCGTTGCCTCGAGACCAGAACTCCCAGAGCCCGAACGTGGTGAGGCCAGCAAGGGCGCAAGGCGGCCGCCCCGCCAGCGGAGGCTGAGCGAACGCTGAAGGAGGCTTGCGCCCCTGCCCTCACTAGCCCTCCCCAGCCCTCCCCCTGCGGTTCCTGGTTTCGGGGCCTGACGTCTTTGGAAGCATCAGCACGCCACCATTCGACATGCGCATGCAGCTGAAAAGTTGCTCCTGTACACTGGCTTTGACTTTTGTTTCCCTTCCCAAACGCGAGAGAGCCACTTGAACTGTTGAATCTCCCGTCAGCTTCCCGCCAGCGCCCATGCAGCCGCTACATTCGCGCCGCACCAAATTCCAGTCCCATCCGGAACGAGAGATCATTGCAGCTTTAGATTATAGGGTGGATTATACGGCTCACACTGCAAGCGCCCCCGAAACCTGCGCTTCTTGTCTGAAGTCGAACTCTCGCAGGCGGCGTCGGCAGTGACACCAGCGCCGATGGCGCGATCGGTGGAAGAGGCTGAGAGCTATGCTGACGAGGACTTCGAGGCCAGACGCGCTTAGCATTGAGGTCGTAGAGCAACGGAAATACCCTTTCACATGGGAAAGCTTGCTAATTTTGGGTGTATGTATGTCAATGTGTGTATGTGTGCAAGCGTGCCTTTGTTGAAGTTACAGGTTTGCTCAACATAGATTCGGGATTGTTCGGTGATTGGCGCATAAGGGAATGTAGGTGCCAGGCTAGGGGGCATGGATTTGTCCACGCCACTGCAGCTGGTGAGCTGGCAAAGTGTGCGGTCCGAATGTCTTTGGACATTCCCCCTTTTTGAAGCATTGGCGCAAGGTTTTGGATGTTGGTGTTTTGGGCTTAGGATTCTGGAGCGCAAGTGAGTTCCGAGTTCCTGAGGCTTTACAAGCTTGTGTATCTTGTGTAGGGTTCAGGGCCTGTCTCGTGATCCCAGCAGCTGACCAGGAACAGCCTTCCGAAGAACTCGCCGCCGACCCTCCAAAAGAGCAGTCAGGCCCGGGCATTGGGTCACATGAGCCTCCAAACCCAAACCATGGACCGTGGGTCGTTTGTTGAAGAGATTTGAAGAGTCTCCGATCCCGAGTCCCAAGCTCCGCGCCTTAGAAGAAGCATGCTGAGAAGCCTAAACTAGGGTCGCGGTTTTTGCGGGGCTTTACGGTTGAAGGTTCTGTTGAGCCGTTGCCTCGAGACCAGAACTCCCAGAGCCCGAACGTGGTGAGGCCAGCAAGGGCGCGAGGCGGCCGCCCCGCCAGCGGAGGCTGAGCGAACGCTGAAGGAGGCTTGCGCCCCTGCCCTCACTAGCCATCCCCAGCCCTCCCCCTGCGGTTCCTGGTTTCGGGGCCCGACGTCTTTGGAAGCATCAGCACGCCACCATTCGACATGCGCATGCAGCTGAAAAGTTGCTCCTGTACACTGGCTTTGACTTTTGTTTCCATGTACTTCCCAAACGCGAGAGAGCCACTTGAACTGTTGAATCTCCCGTCAGCCGCCCGCCAGCGGCCAGGCAGCTGCTACATTCGCACTGCACCAAATTCCGGTCCCATCCGGAACGAGAGCTTCTCATCTCTGGAGTCGAACTCTCGCAGGCGGCATCGGCAACACCAGCGCCGATGGCGCCATCGGTGGAAGAGGCTGAGAGCTACGCTGACGAGGACTTCGAGGCCAGACGCGCTTAGCAGTGAGGTCGTAGAGCAACGGAAATACCCTTTCACATGGGAAAGCTTGCTATTTTTTGGGTGTATGTATGTCAATGTGTGTATGTGTGCAAGCGTGCCTTTGTTGAAGTTACAGGTTTGCTCAACATAGGTTCGGGATTGTTCGGTGATTGGGGCATAAGGAAATGTAGGTGCCAGGCTAGGTGGCATGGATTTGTCCACGCCATTGCAGCTGGTGAGCTGGCATAGTGTGCGGTCCGAATGTCTTTGGACATTCCCCCTTTTTGAAGCATTGGTGCAAGGTTTTGGATGTTGGTGTTTTGGGCTTAGCATTCTGGAGCGCAAGTGAGTTCCGAGTTCCTGAGGCTTTACAAGCTTGTGTATCTTGTGTAGGGTTCAGGGCCTGTCTCGTGATCCCAGCAGCTGACCAGGAACAGCCTTCCGAAGAACTCGCCGCCGACCCTCCAAAAGAGCAGTCAGGCCCGGGCATTGGGTCACATGAGCCTCCAAACCCAAACCATGGACCGTGGGTCGTTTGTTGAAGAGATTTGAAGAGTCTCCGATCCCGAGTCCCAAGCTCCGCGCCTTAGAAGAAGCATGCTGAGAAGCCTAAACTAGGGTCGCGGTTTTTGCGGGGCTTTACGGTTGAAGGTTCTGTTGAGCCGTTGCCTCGAGACCAGAACTCGAAGAGCCCGAACGTGGTGAGGCCAGCAAGGGCGCGAGGCGGCCGCCCCGCCAGCGGAGACTGAGCGAACGCTGAAGGAGGCTTGCGCCCCTGCCATCACTAGCCCTCCCCCTGCGGTTCCTGGTTTCGGGGCCCGACGTCTTTGGAAGCATCAGCACGCCACCATTCGACATGCGCATGCAGCTGAAAAGTTGCTCCTGTACACTGGCTTTGACTTTTGCTTCCATGTACTTCCCAAACGCGAGAGGACCATTTGAAGTGTTGAATCTCCCGTCAGCTTCCCGGCAGCCTCATGTCAGCCTCCTGTCCTTGCAGACACTACGTTCGCGCTCCACCAACCCCCACTCCCATCCGAAACGAGCCCCAGCTTTAAGATTGTGGCGTGGCTTGTGCTGCAATGGCCCCCGAAACCTGCGCTTCTTTCTCCGGAGTCGAACTCTCGCAGGTGGCGTCGGCAGTGACACCCGCGCCGATGGCGCCATCGGTGGAAGAAGCTGAGAGCTACGCTGGCGAGGACTTCGAGGCACGCTTAACAATTGGCATATTGGTGTTACGTAGAGTATAGCCCAAGTAGCCATTTATGCGGGAAAACTTGCTTATGACTTTGGTGTGTATGTGTGTGTGTGTGTGTGGGCGCGCGCGCTCGCGTGCGTACCTTCGCTGAAATTACAGGTTGCTCAATGCAGGTTCGAGGTGTTGTGGTATCGGTTCATGAGGGCATTTAGGTGTTGGGTTGCATGGATTCTGTCCACGCGCATTGCAACTGGCCAGCTGGCAGAGTGGGCTGGCCGAAAGTCCTGTCGCCGCCCCTTTTAAAAGTCGTTGCCGCAAGGATTTGGGCTGGGTGTCTTGGGCCCAGGATTCCCGAGCTGAAGTGAGTTGCTTTAGCGCCTTGTTGTTCAGGGATACCACTGCGTACTAAGAGGCCTTTGCAGCTTGTTCTCAGAAGTTCAGTTCTGTGGCCACCTAAACCCAAAACCCTCAACCGTAATGAACGGCAGCTTTGATAAGACGCTGCTATTTAGGCCAGTCGCTGATGCCTTCTGGGTTTGGGTGGGATTTTCGGGGCCTTCGGCTCGGACTAGGTTATGATGGTCACTAAGGCTGTTAGGAGCATCACGTGGAGGTTCATGGGTAGTTATAAGTCGGGTTGGAATTCTGGCACCTATACCTAAAAAAACCATGTAGGGTACCTATAACCCTACTTATACCTACCCACGAACCTCCAAGGTATGTAAAGAAACTGCCAGCAACAGCCACAAAAGTGCCATCATCTTACATACTCAGGGGGTTTAGGTACCCACGAACCTCCAAGCAGGGTTCCCAACCCACAGACTCCAACACCCCTTATTTACGGAATATTCCTTAGGTGTAATGGGGTTCCTTACATAGGGAACAGTCCTTAATTTTAACCCTACGCGACCCGCCTCGGCCTGGCCCAGCGCAGCCCCTGGGCACCTTGAAGCTCTGCAGCTGCACAGGGTCATATAGATGTCTGGGGCTGACAAATTCAATTTGCGCAAAACATTCGAGCGGGTTGGGGGGGTGGGGGGAGCAGTTGGAGGGCGTTTACAAGAGGGGTGCGGAGCCTGTGGCCGAGCCCAAAGTGTCCCCTGGTCCTGATGCACGGTCGCTCCCGCACACCAGTTGGCTAGGGGTGGGGGGGGTGTACCCATTTCAGCCAATGAGGGGCGCGCAAGTGGTCATGGTGTGGTGGGGAGGGGATTAGAGGTGGGGCACCTGTTTCACGCTCCCCCTACTCCTATCCCAAAACCCTAAACCCTAAACCCTAAGCCCGGAGTCTCTGGGAAGCTCTGGACCGGCTCACGATCTGCTCGGCTGGCCAGGAAGACTTGGCAGCCCAGTGGTACCCTTTACCCCTTTTTTGGTTCACCCTAAACCCTAAACCCTAAACCCTAAACCCTAAACCCTAAGGTTCCCTTATAAAGTAACCAACCCCCAAAAAAGGGGTGCCCTGAATATAATATGGTTACTACCCTTTTTTTGGTTCAAGGTTCCCTCATCAAGTAACCAACCCAAAAAAGGGTTCCCTTATAAAGTAACCAACCCAAAAAAAGGGTTCCCTTATAAAGTAACCAACCCAAAAAAGGGGTTCCCTTATAAAGTAACCAACCCCAAAAAAGAGGGGTGCCCTTATTATAATATGGTTGCTGGGCTACCAGGAAGAGCTCGCTGCCGACCCTCCCAGAGGCCAGTCAGGCCCGGGCATGAGGGACTCTGCCGGTTTAGGGTTTAGGGTTTAGGGGTTTAGGGGTTTAGGGGTTTAGGGTTTAGGGTTTAGGGTTTAGGGTTAGTGTTTAGGGGTTTAGGGGTTTAGGGGTTTAGGGGTTTAGGGGTTTAGGGGTTTAGGGTTTAGGGATTCAGGGTCTACTGTAGGGTCTATACGGCCCAGGGTTTAGGATTTAGGGGTTTAGGGCGTTTAGGGTTTAGGGCTTTTGGGGTTTGGGGTAGGTCTTCTTCAAGCCCCTCCCCCTCCATTTTTTCAAACCCTCAGACATTTGGGGTGGCTCGTCAGCCCAACCGGGCATCATGAGGATCAGATGCAAAAGGCTTTAGGGGCCAGATGATCGAAACCGCGCATCATGAATGAGCATCAGCTGCCACAAGCCTTTTGGGGCTAGGCAGGTCAAACCGGGCAGCATGAGCATCAGCTGCAACCGGGCATCATGAGCATCAGCTGCCACAGGCCTGCGGGGCTGGGCAGCCCACAGCTGCCATGTCATCGTTCTCCCAAGAAGGGTCACTTACTAATTATTGGTTTTGTTTGCGGTTTTTTTGGCCGGGGGAGTGTGGGAGGGTACTGAATCCATTGTCTATTGGCTTCACCCTAAACCCTAAACCCTAACCCTAAACCCTAAACCTTAACCCCTAGCCCTAAATCCTAAACCCTACACCCTAACCCTGAACCCTAAACCTTAAACCCTAAACCCTAAACCCAAAACTTGTAAACTGCAGCCAGGCCAGCAGGGCTCGGATGCGGTCGCTGGGGCCTCCTCGCCTGCGGAGGCTGAGCGAACACGGGAGGGGATGCAGGTTCCCTGCTCCCGTTGAGGGGTTTTCGGGTTTAGGGTTTAGGGTTTAGGGTTTAGGGTTTAGGGGTATTTTCTATCACCTCCATCTTCACTGACTCTGATGTCTTGGAAACCGTCATCACGCCACCACTCAAGACGAACAT